CTTCTTTGATTTCTTATGCGGTATCTTGTCAGTTTTTATTCAAATTTGGCACATACATGTACTTTATACATGTTAGAATGCATGTTCATGACAATTTGTTTTCAAATCTGGTCAAGGATGGCCGATTGACAGCCATCTGACTTTTTGGCCTTACTACTATATTTCCACAATTTATGTACCATTTTCATTCGTATTTGGCACATACATCATACATATCAGTGTGTTTCATAATCAGATCAAAGATGGCAGAATAACTGCTGTTTTTATTTTTCGCCATATTACTACTACACGGAACACATGTTTTGATGTAAATAAATAATCTGTTGTATACGCCACTTGGAACTCGAGTTTCAAGGACACACTCTCGACAAACTCCTTCGCTTTAATATGACGAGCACAAATATAACTTCCCAAAATTTAACGGGGACTGTGTCATTTTCAATGACTTGTAACCAGGGACATCACAAAACACAGTGGAGGCTTGAAATTGTTTTATTGCAGTTTTACACAGAAATGAGCAAGATTATTGCTCAATGTGTGAATAACTGCCCAAGATGAATGCAAAGCAGTTCTTTCAGATTCCCTTAATTGCATTATCAGTAATATTTATTGGAATGTATATTTGTGATTATCTCACAATTGATGTGATCACATTTTACGACATATAACACCACTTGTAATAACTCATCTTATAAATCCATGCTATAATGATGTAATTCACTTTTTAGTTGAGATCACAAGTTGAGCTTGATGAGAGAGAGAAAAGACTGGAATGTTCCATCCTAGGACTGAAAGCAGATATTAGAAATGAAGTGCAGGATGGTTTACAAAATTTAGAATTGTCAAGAATGGAAGTATTGGGAGAATTGGAACAGTTGCACAGTCAGAAAGAACACTTGAATAAACACCTAGATGCTGTACATCAGAATCTATTTGCAGTAAGTGTTGAACCTGAGCTATTACATTGTATTTAATAACAGGATCCTCATTGGACCATTCCAGTTTATATCTGCACACCCCCTGTTAATGAGGTTGGATTTCCAGCACTGTATGATGGGGGAAAATACCCCGGATTTTCAACTGTATATGGAGAAACAGAATCTGGAAATCCAGACGAGTATGGAAAAAATTTTCCTGGAAATCCAGGCAGTTATGGCTACTAAATAAAATGTGGTCTAGTTTATCTCGCCACATACCGGTTGATAAGGTTGGATTTCCAACACTGTATGACTAAAAAAACTTGGAAGTCTGATTGTATATGGGGTAACAAAAGTTGGCCAGTATGAAATAGTTATTACTGAAATTAGAGAAGGATGGCCACTCAACAGATTGGGTCTAATTTATATTTTGACATAGCAGTTGATGAGGCTGGATTTCCAACATTGTATGGCAGAAAAAAGGCAAGCTTATGGCAGTATTTGAGCTATATCTTTGAACTCAAGTTAAACTGCCACTATATCAAATGAGAATCTGTTTTTAAGTTTAAACTTAGGAAAAAGATGAAGAAAAAGATGATTGAATCTGTCTTACAGGTACATTTTTAGCTCCGCTGTCGACTTTGTCGAGCGGAGCTAATCATATGAGTGATTGTCCGGTGTCGTCCGTCATCGTCGTCCGTGTCAATGTTTTACTTTTTCGACTTCTTCTTGAAAACTACAAGCCTGAATGC